AAAACCCAAAATTTACCTGGGCAATTTATATTCTCCAACAGCACCAGCATCATCATCACAACTGAAACCCAGTATAATTTTTGAATAATTGTACAAGCATACAGAGAAATTACATAATTCATGAAAAATCCAAATAAAATATAATCAAGTATTGAATGAGGTAAACTAAAGTGGAATGAGTACCTTAATTGGCTCAGGCATTTCAGCGAACGCGTTGTGGGCGTGCATGTCATAGGGTTTAATTTTATAATCAGTTTCGATCCAGAACCTGTAACTTTGAGCAACAAAACCAACTTCCAAATAAAAACAGACAGGCGTTCTTAAACTATGTCAAATACTCAGAAAACAATGTAAGAAAATCATACCTACAATTGATTAATTCAGTTCGCTTGCTTTGGAAGCTAGGATTGGGACCATGCTTGGCATGGGTCGGAAGGAACTTTTTTTTTTTTTTTTTTTTTTTTTTTTTTTTTGGGTTTTTGGCAAGTTACACCTTTCCACTTTCCACTGTGATGCCAAAAAACTCCTTTGTTTTATATTTTGCACCAGATATAATTTATATTTTGCACCAGATACAGATATTTCACCAATTATTTACAATAAGGTTAGTCAACCACGAAAATAGTGTATAGGATCAAATCCCTTGCAAGCAGATAAACTAACATTTCACCATCTATCACAAATCTCAAGGTCTGCAATGGCCTTCTTGTGGGGGAGTAATAGGGCATACACCTTTATAATCAGGATTACCCTGTAATAAGGTTATCTTTTTAATATCTATTATAAAAAATCTTTAGAAAAAAGAGAGAACTATATACCTTAAAATTAGTACGAAATACTTTATCTTTATGTTTTCGTTGTTCAAGAATCCAATTATGAGATCAACATTTCTGTTAGCAGTTTCATCAATTGTGAATATATAGTGGTTTGGCCAGATGCTCAAGCATCTAAATTTATTTATATAAACACTAATAATAAAAAGAAAGAATTAGATCATCTAATCCAAAAGTTAGAAAAAAGTAAAATGTATAAACATGTGTAGATATGTACCTTTCCATTGTTGGCAAATTCTTTCTTTAAGAATCCTATAGCACCGGGGCCACAAACAACATGCGTAAAATCTCTAAAATAATATAATGTTTTATTATATCTGTTGGCTTTCTATTGGGAACCCTTTTGGATCTTTTCATTTGTTTCTCAAATAAAAGCCAAATACACAAAAGACAACTTTTTGGGGCTAATACTGAAAAATTCAGCTATATTCGGAACCGAAAATGTAATTTACTCTTGAATTTAACTACTCAGCTTTTAATTTTTTTAAAATGGACCATTATTATTTATCATCCCCTTGGACCAAAACTGGGAAAAAACAGTAAACCACAGCAACCAATAATGCAAATATCTCTTAATTTTACTATCAATCTATTTTCTAAATTATAACTTATTCTTTTTTACTTGTCTTGAAAAGTATAACTTTTTAAGCTATTTCACATGCAAAATGACCATTTTGTCATTGGCCATGCACTTTTAGTTCCTTTTTAAAAATTTTTGGTAGATACTAATGTTCTTCATACGAATTTATTATGAGTATAAATTTATAAGTTGCCTAAGAACATGTTGTATTACCTTTACACATAAGAACTCTTCAAAATGAGAACTTTTCAGAAAGCATGATGTCAGAATCTGAACAAAAGAGACATTACAATAAGTAAAAATTGAAACAAATCAAAAAGTACGTTTACTATTAAAGATAAAATAAAACCAACCAAAAGAGCTTGATTTTGAGCATCCACATTTTCCAGAAATACCCTTCCATGCAATCTTTGCTTGGGAGATTAGTCAAAGTAGAAGTTTGTTAGGATGATTTTATGAAAAAAGTCATCGCCATCGAAGCACAAGACCTGAACAAAACGCCCATTTGTAATTACATCGACCTTATTTATACTCGTAATAGTTAAATAACTTCATTTCATTAATGAACTTTAATTTTATTTTTTCAAAATAACGGAAGGAATAAGAGTAGAATTCTACAATGAACAAATGAATATGCAGTCCTTTTAAAAAGGATATGAATAAGCATATATAGGATGGGTCATCATATGATTTGATTCTTTGCCTATATGTTTACAGCTACTTAACTTTCAATAACTTTACAGGGAAATACCCAGGAAGCTTGCTACTCTTCCACAAATTCTTCATCTTCGTCTGCAAGATAAACCCTCAAAATTAAGAAAAATGATTTTTTTTTATTTGGGTATTCGGTTTAGTCAGGCATTTAGACAAACAGGTGGTGGGCATGGATAGAAAGACAAATCACATCCTCGTCATTCGTGTTGGATTGATTCCAAATTACGAAAAAAGGATTTAAGGACAATATACATTCCAGTAACTAAAATTTAGATTCCAAGAAAAGGCATATTTTACAAAATACATATTCCAATAGCTTAAATTTGTAATATAATCACTTCATCCTGCAAAATATACATTCCAGTAGCCTAAATCTGCAACCTTTTTGATTGAAACTCCAAAATATTCTGAATTTAGGAAGATAGTACCAACAAATGTTTAAGAAAGTACGAAAGAAACTTAACTGTGCTACCAAAGAAAGTCAAAATGTTGAAAGATTTGGATGTGAATCTGTGATAAATTAGCATAGTGGAGAATAAAGATACATGCCTGATCAAAAGCAGGAAAAATGTAATCTGCAAATTGAATTTCTGCTATAGCTCGATTCCCCTGTTACAAAATTATTATTATATATAATAAGTAACTGTATGAAAAGATGCAGAAAAGGATTTTGGAGTACAAAATTTTAAGGAACTTACCATTGCTGGTAGACAATACCAAATCCAACAATCCCCTGTTGTAAAAGAACGAATCTTAAATCAGAAACACCATTTTTTTAAATTGTAGTGATTGACATATCATAAGATTCCTAATTATTTCAAGAAATGAAAGAGTTCATGACGATTTTTGTTGGTTTAAAAAGTCAAACTGTGAGAGATTTTTTATCGATAAAGTTACCTGTTCGCATCGAGGGGTCTTAAAAACCCTATGTTTACCAAATTGATCAGCCAATCCAGTTGTGCAACGGAAGACGCCACCAAAACCCACATCTTCCCCAAATATCTAAGAACTGTGATTCCAAATGTGAAGTTTTGGTTCCCAATTTAGTTTAATTTGTTATGATATGGTAATAGAAATGAAAAATCAGTTAAGAATCCATGCTAATTTTACAATTCCATTCGGAAGAGGGGATTCTATTAAACCTACATGGCCCACATGTGAAGAATCAGATATAAGAATCGAGTAATTAGACAAAAATGATCATTCAACAAAATCAGAAAAAGGAAGGAATAATATATCAGGATTCAGACATAATAGAGTATTATAATTATAATTAAAGAAGGTAGCAAAAGTGAAAAGGTACCGAGGATCAAAATCTAAAGCTATTTGAAGTGCTTGATTGACTGCAGTGCAAAAGTTTATAGATTTCCCCGTTCTAGTTCCTGGTTGTTACACCTGACCATCAACAGAACTAAAATTAACATGTGTATGTTTAAATTAACATGTAATCAGAACACATACTGAAATCAGATATTCACGGCGACATCAGAGAGAAATCGGAAATTCGAAATCCACAACAGCCAGTCTGAATCGGTTAAGCGATGGTGGTGGTGAAAGTCGGTTGAGCGATGGTGGTGGTGAAATCCTGTAACTTACGCTGAAATACAACAAAGCCAACCCTATGGTAAGTGGTTTTTGTTGGGTAGAAAGGTTGTGGGGTATAGGGGTAGGAAGGTTCGATGGAGAGAGATGGTGAGTGTGTGTGTTGTGTGAGCATTTAACATCTACAGATATGTGGTATAGCGTAAGGCGTAAGGCCATGGATCAGGGTTTCTTCAGATAGAAGGATCGAGAAATGAGATTTGGTTCCCTAAAAGCATATTATCGACGTTGTTGGCAAATTCCTTCGTGGGAATACATAAATACATAGACGAAGATCTTGCTTTCTTTCAGTACTTTCTGCGATGGACTGCAACATGGACTAGCCGAGCTCGTTTTTAGAGGGAGATGGAGGGGAAGACAGTAAGAAACCCTAAGTTTCTTTGTCTGAAACCTTGGTAGGTCTGTTTGAAACCTTGGTAGGTGGTGGAAGTATCGTGAAGGAAACAAAACGAAAACAGGTAAACTCCACGTAAAGGCCAGGGAAAAAAACACGTATAAAACAGGAAGATGTGTCAATGACCAGAAAAAGAAACACATACAAATTAATTAAATAGAAGGGGATCAGTGAAAGAAAACATATGCAAAATATAAGGGCAAAACGTGACAAAAATTAGGCAAGTATACTGTAGCTAAGGATTGATAATTTTAATATATATATATATATATATATATATATATATATATATATATATATATATATAATTGGTAAATAAAAATTTGCTTTTGAAAACAGTTTTTTACTATCCTTAAAAATGTGTATTTAAAAAATTACAACACAACTTTTGAAAAGTCTTTATAACTTTTTCATCTAAAATAACTATAAGGTTATCCAAACATACTTTTTTAGAAATGATTTATCAACTTGTAACTTTCTACTTTTATCACCACATAAACTAATAAACATTTTTATAAAAATAATTTATTGAGTTAAATAAGCAAAATCCCAAACATCCCCAAACCCACCTTTTATTCACGATTGGTCGTCGTCGGCTCCTTCTTCCTCGTAGAAGCCCTTCCACCACCTCTATGAATGTGGCTTCCATCTAAATATCAATTGAATCAACAAAAGATATTATCTCGTACTAACACATCGACCGCATCGTCACAGCCTGTCTCATATGTCATTGAGGACCAACAAGACGTTGCCGCTGCTATAGGTAGGCTTAACATCGATGGATGTAGGGAGTTTTTTCGTAGTCAACAGAGTGAGGGTCAACATCACAAAAGGGAAAATAGAGAGAGAAGGACAGTGATGAGGGATGAAGCAGGTGTCAGTTTATCTGGATTTTGATTTCATTTGTAAGTAGTTTTTGATTTCCTCCACAAATCTTTCATAGACCCAATCCAAAGAAAATAGCATAAAAGAGGGACCACTTCTATAGCTTACTCTATAATTTTACGTACATTTACTAACATAAAGATCATTCCATTACATATTAATAAACAACATATATGATATATTCAACCAACTTTTACATTCATCTACCGACCATCCACTAACGTAATGGTCATTGCAGTGGTTGAAGATGGTACATGGGTGCTAGATGACGTGTCATCTTTAGGGTCATGCTCCGTGTAGAAGAAACCAGGTTGCTTCGGTTGTGGCAATTCACTTTCACTACTGAGCATCACCACAACCGAAGACATGCTCGGTCTATCTTCCGGATTTCTTTGAACGCACAACAAAGCAACTTCAATTAATCTCAACGCTTCATATAAATGGCACGAGTCACTTAAATTCGCATCAATGAGCTCCACACACCTCCCTTCTTGATAAAGTATCCATGCCTACAACCAAAAAAGAAAAAGGTCTTAATCTTTTAACCAGGTTATGTCAATATGGGCTCATATAGATATAACCTAAAAAGTTGACCTGTTTGACCCTTTACCCTAAAAAGATGCAAGCTGAATCGGTAATGACTTGTGTCTTAAGATATAGTGTTTTATAGATAAGGTATGTTTCTATTAAAGGGTTGGGGTTTGAACACATTAAGCCAGGTTTTTTTTGGCATAATGCATGAAGTCTTTCTGTCAAAGTTAGTCATATATAGCTATCCAAATTAGGTACTTAACCCATTCAGCCCATTAATTGAAGAAAGCTAGAAGAGTCCCCTTACATGGCCAAGAAGGTTATGATGGTGGTCATGGTGAAAGAATCCTCTGTTTTTCTTTCCGGTAACAATCTCCAACACCAAAACACCGAAGCTAAATACGTCTGATTTTACCGAGAAAACTCCATCCACTGCATATTCCGGAGACATGTAACCGCTACAAGATGAAAATAAAAATATATAATAAATAAATAAAATAAATAAATAAGAAAATTAAGAGAGAGATGCGTACTAAGTTCCAACCACTTTCATGGTATTTGCTTGTGTCTCGTTTCCTATAAAGCTTCTTGCCATCCCAAAATCAGATATTTTTGGAATCATATGAAAATCAAGCAAAATATTGCTTGCTTTCAGATCTCTATGAATAATTCTTAATCTTGAATCTTCGTGAAGATACTGCAACCCTCGAGCTATTCCATTCATAATGTTGAACCGCTCCGGCCAATCAAGTAACTTTCTTCGACTTTCATCTATATTTAATTAATATAATAATATACCATTTAATCATTTAATCCATATTAAAAGTTGATTGCAGTATTATATATACAAGGAAAAGAAACAAACCGAATATGAAGTAATCGAGGCTTTTATTAGGCATGTATTCATAGATCAACATCTTTTCGTCTCCTTGAATGCAACATCCAAGAAGCCTCACAAGATTTCTATGTTGAAGTTTGGATATGCAAATAACTTCATTTTTGAATTCATCAAGCCCTTGATTTGATGTCTTTGAGAGTCGCTTCACAGCCACTTCTTTTCCATCTGGCAGAACACCCTAAATCAAAATATATAGATGTTCAACTTATTATGCAGGGTGCAATAAAGTGAAATTATATCTGAAAAACTAAAAGGTATGCTAATTCTAACCTTGTAAACCGGCCCATAGCCACCTTCTCCAAGCTTATTCTTAAACGAAAAATTATGTGTCGCTTTTGCTATTTCTGATAAATTAAACAATGGCAGCTCAAGATCATCCTTTTGACTTTCATTGGTGTAAAGTTGATCAGTATCATTTCCGACATCTTCATCTACAACATTAAAATGACTAAATGAGAACCACAATAATATATAAAATAGTTGGTTTTGGACTTTGGTTGCTAAATTATGACATAAACCCTTCTCTTGCAGTATGAAGTGTTGAATTGCTTACCTTCTCCCTTGGGCACCGACTTCTTCCTAATCCATTTTCTCCAAATAAAGAACACCAGACCCAAGCTTATGAACACCCCACCAACTAATGCTATGATCAATGGAATTATTTTCTTCTTCTTCTTCTTTAGAGAACTTGAAACACCTGTCAATAGATTAAAAAATAATTGTAAATACTAAAGTAATATAATTAGTTAAAAACACTTGGAAAAAAATTGTAAGCAAAATCATCTTACCTAATTCAGAAAAAGCTACCCTGATATATATCTCGGAAGTATAAGATGGAGCTGCTTGAATATCAACCAAATCACCCGTCCAAAGCAAACACCCAAATCCTTTTTTCAAAATATTCGCATACGCCATACACGAACAATTTTTCACACATAACTTCTCACATTCCACAAGTGTCATATTCCCATAAAACAACGAATTTTGTGGATCTGGCAATTTAAGATTTGTATATTTGATAAATCCATCAGTCTTACAATCCAACGCCTTCCTTCTCACACATCCCTTTGACCAATTTGCCCCATTCCATTCGTTTTGATACTTTGGCACAAACTTATCCAAACACCCACATTTCGGGAAGCTGTTAGTGCTACAACTACCATAAGCACCACATACCAAATCACAACCATCGGGTGTAGGGATAGAAAAGTAAACAACCCAATCGTTGACTTGGTCAGCCCACACCCAACGTTGTGCAACACCGGTTCGATTCATGGTCAACCTCGATATCATGGAAGAGTTTATCATTCTGTAACTATAAAACACTTGTTTTTGATTAAAAACCATATCAAATTTGTAAATAGCATTCTGTGGGAGGACGGAAATCCCACCGAAATCAATTCCATTCCAGGGTTCACTTCGGTATTGGATTACCGACCCTTTTTTAATAATTTGATGTGGGTACCCACGAAGATCACATCCGAATGTGTAATCTCCTTTAGAAGGATCATCATCGCTTTTCCATGATGTGATATAATTCTCATGCCCAGTCACTAAGTCTTTCCCAATCTTCATTCCTGGTAGAAGGGTATCACCGGGATAATCAAAACTTTGCCAGATGACATCATTTTTATCTTTCACAACAAGATTCCCGGAGTCTAAAAGCTGTGCGATTGGATTGTTTGTGGGTCTTGAGGTATTTGAAGACCAGATGATCGTGTTCTTGTCGTTTACAATGGTGAGAATCCCGGGATTTGTTAACTTTAAAACACCGGATTTGTTAGGAACAGGGGTGTCTCTATTCGCGACCCAAACAACGGTTTTTGTTGGTATATTTTTGTACCATATGCCAATGTACCTGTTCATTGAAATCCCGGGACTGAAGAATCCCATTTCAAAGAGTCCGCTAGAGGAAACTATGGTGTTTCCGTCTTTCATTGGAATAGCTGAAGTGATTGTGTCACTCCAAGCATACACGATTGGAATGGAAAGGGAAACGGAAAGGACGATTGGAATGGAAAGGGAAAGGTGTAAGATGAACAAAAAGAACCCTTTTGTATCTAGTGAGTCCATCTTTAGGAACTATGGAATCAAGTCGGTCTTTCCCAGTTTGTGGGTCCAAACACTTTTTTGCATAAAAAGCTAATCAATAAGCAAAAAAAGTTTTGTTTTTGTAACAAGTGAGTTTTTAAACTTGGAGAATAACATCTATCATGAAAAACAGCGGAAGCATTGTATAACTTTCTTGTACCTGCCTAGATGATGAGAGATTAATGCTGATTGTACACAACATGATTTCTGCTTCAGTATCTTCATTGCTGAAAGTAATCAGATATGAAATGAGGGTAGCATATTATGTTGAATCAACATCTTATATAGATAAGCATCAAACTGATCATAAAAGACAGATAAAGGAAGGAAAGGAAGTGTTTTGTTGTAAGGCAATGTGAAGTCGGGTGCAGAGAGAGTACATATAATAAGGGGTTTCAGTCAAACAATCTTTGTTCTTGACTTTTGGAGAACTTATGTCCCCTCAGCCCCACAAAGATTGCAGACGAAAGCTAGCTTGATGAAAGTAATTAATGATATAGAAGATATGAGGAATCTTGATCATAATATTTTGGTTTTCGGGTCATGGATTGCATTCACATCCACACCCACCTGGACCCATTTTTATGGGTCAAGTAATTGCTTTTATGTTAGTGTTTGTGTATTTCTGTTGGTTTACTGTCAACTCTTCATCTAAAGATTGTAAATATAAATGTGTCTCCTTGCAAATATTTTGTGACACGAAATGGAAGTAAGCAACATGAAAAGTGCTTAGTCAAATTTTCAAAATTTAAATGTTTAATCAATCACATCATTTTGAAGGAAAGTCATGTGATTTTAGACATTTTACAATTAAATTGGTAATTTAAAACGTGAAATAACATGGCCCTCTTTCTCCCTCTTTGGTCCGTGTCCCATTTATCCATAAACGCTTTGTTAAGTCCTCAATACGCTATGCATCATGTTGGAAAAGAATGAAATATGACTACGTTGCTGTAGAAAGAAGTGCACTTATGTCTTGATGTCTAAAATATATTTAAGAGTTTGACAACTCTCAATAAGGAAAATGGATGGAAAAAATAAATTAAGTCAAATTTGTAAACAGTTATGGAAGTCGTTTGGAAGTCTTTGTTAAGTAAAAAAGAGTTATCTAAAGTTTGTTATGTTACATGAGTTTCTTCATGTTGAGGCAAGTCCTTTTGTGTCTCAAATGTCAAGAGTATTTTGAAGGTTTGCACAAATTGTTAGTGATTCAAACGAAGGAGGGGGTGTGAATCTTCCTTGGTTGATGTCAAAAAGGTGATCCTTGATTAAAGAATATATCAAGGATTATGTGGAATGTTCATGGATGAAGATTGTTCATCTTTTAATGTATGGATTTTGTTACATTCATAAAAGGAAGCATAGCCTAATTGGATAAGGATTGGGATTTAAGTTACAATGAATGGACAAGGATGACTTTCAGGAGGAAGCAAAAGGCGTTCAAGTTTCTTCATTTAAAATAATCAAATATATACAATCAATCTCGAACTATAAAGTTTTCAATTTTCAAAATTCGTAATGAACTGTAGCGTCTCTTATAGTTCGAACTACGTTTCAGTTCCAGAAGCTTTATGGACGTTGAAATTGCTAAACATCAAGCGGCTGTTGAGCGTACCTAAGAACATGAGTATGAGTTTGTAATCGAGGAAAGATATGAAGAGAATCAGTCTCGATGCAATGCTTCCTCCATGGAATTGGGAATTCCATCTTCATGTACTTTGATCTGAAATTGGGATTCCCGTTCATCATGTCCCATGCAAAACCCTTGAATCAATGCTTCAATTATGTATGAAATAGATCAGAAGTTTCGGGATCTTGCAGGCATTTGCATCGATTCTGATGTGCATATGAAATCCCATCGTACTAAAGAACAAATTGAAAGAACTTTGAAGTTTGAGCATAAAAGGGAAGATCATCGTTCTAGTTCTTTGTGTTTGTCGAGATTAAAGCAGAATTACAAAATCAATTTTCATCACGATTACAAAATCAAGATTTTCACTTGTGGAGGTGGTCCTTCTTTCTATGCTATTCTTATTTATCACACTAGTTGCTAGTGTGAGACCCGTATAATAATATACGGGTTGATTAAAACAAAATGTTAAGTACGAACGATTAAATAGAAATTTTATTTGAATTTGAAATTGAAATAAGTGAAAATTATGAGAAAAAAATATGCAAAGAATAAATTAATTAAAATTATGAGTTTAGTGTGTACTAAACGGGTTAATTATAACAAAAATTAAAACATAAAGGTTTAAACTGTAAATTTATTTGGAATTGAATTTGAAATTTAAAATTTGATAGTCGTTTAATTTATGGAAAGTAAATCAATGATATATTGAAAGTGAAAATTAAAGTAATGACAAGTGGAAAATAAATATATTTCAAATTATGACAAAATGACATTTGGCTAATCTTATGAGAGAAGGACATGTGGCAAAGTCATTTTCATTTATTAGAGTAGATTGCATCCCTCGCATACTCGGTCACCACATATCTCTTCATTTTAAAATGTTTTAAAATGGATTAAAAAACACAAAGCTTAATCTTTTTAAAACCATCTTCCAAATCTTCCAAATAATGTTCTTGTATAAAAATTACCAACAAACTAGATATTTTTTCAAAAGTCATCATGTGGTAAATCATAATTACATAAAAATTAATTAAGAGAAAAAACAAAGGAAAATAACTTAGGAGAATAACTATGTTTTAAATCGTTTAAAAAACATCATCCAAGTTTGATATGTTAAAAAAAATATTTATCTAAGTAAAGTTTTTGTAAAAAAAACACCAAGAAACTATACATTTTATTCAAATATTACCTAATAGTTACCGACTCTTGCAGGCTAAAGGACGACTTCACCTAATTATTATGACATGACATAAAATTTAGTTATATGCCATTAATTGAAATATTCATCTTTTATAAATCAATTTAGGGTTTCTTCATAAACATGACTTATTCTTCTACTAAATCGTTGATCTCAAACTCAGGCTTACACATTTCAAAGATACATAAGCGATTTGATGATACAAACCCTTATGGATGTGGGCATCCTTCTCGAATTTTGACATCAACTATGAAACTACGTAACGTCCCAAAAATTTAAAAGTAAAATTTTCATTTTTAATTCAATCAAAACACTAGTTATCTTTCCAAAAACATTCAAAGTAGTTCATAATAAAACAGTTATCAAAGTACAATCCCAAAATCATCGTATTGCAAAATCATGGGTGGATGCGCTGTGATCAAGTCAAACACTTCCCTCTCGTATTGAAAATACCTGAAACAAAAACGGAAAACCGTAAGCACAGAGCTTAGTGAGTTCCCCAAAGTACCACATACCATACATAAGTAAGTTAGTGATATGTGCCAAATTATAGTCTTACAAATAATTTCCTACCAATGGTCAAATTTGTGACAACCCGAAATTTTCGTTCGGTCAAACCCTAAAATCAATCACTTCAAATTATAAGTCAAGTTTATTTTTATTTGTTTTTAGCAAATTTAAAGTTCGTTTGATTATTTTTATAATTATTCTTCAAACGAACGGGTGAAAGGAAGTGCCGTCTCGAGTCTTGAAATTCCAAGTACCACGTAGTTTGGAAATTCACGGCCAAACTTTTATGTTTGGGCCGTAAATCCTTCCAAAACCGTAAACTCATGCCTTAAGCATGAGTTTACTCCCCAAAACACCTCACTTCTTACTTGCAATCTCAAGAGCAAACTCCAAACACTCTCAACTACCATCTCGTCTTTCACCCGATTTCCTGAAAACATAAGTACTTCTTGGCTTGATTTGTTGTTATATCATAACAACTAGTGATTATACATCATTTCATCCATTTAATTGTTGATTTTCATTAGATCTTCAAAACACCAAGAACACCAAGAACACGCACTAGTGTTCTTGGACCTTAAACACCCAATCGAGCTCCGATCTTGTAAGTGCACTTGCTATAGTTTCTTGTATGCTTAGTATGACCCTTATAACACTTGAAAATCATCAAGAAACCATAGAACAAAGGAGTTTACGGCCAAGGATGATCTTGGGCCGTAAACCCCTTTCAAGGTGGTAAATTGGACCTTAGCTCCTTCCTATGCCTTGGATGCCAACCTTGAACCTTCCTAGAAGTGTTTAAGACCTTAAACAACAATCAAAACATGTCCCTAAGAGAGTTTACAAACGTGAACACATAAGAATATGGTCATTTGGCTGTAAACTCCACAAGGTGGTCTTATTATGCCCCTAATGCTTTCCTAAGGCTTGGACTTGATCATTTGATGCCCAATCATGACTTGTAAGACATTAAAACACAATTTGTAAAATTTTACCATGAGTTTACGGCCCTAATCTCATGGGGAAATGGTCATGGGCCGCAAACTCCATAAAAGGGTGGTTCATGGGCCATAAACTCCAATGCCATGTCATACAACCCTTAGGTGCAACCCTTTCGTACTTGTAGCACTTGAATCAAAGTGTTTCTATGATCTAGGGTGTCTTAGCTTGATTAATTAGTTATTAATTAACTAATTAGATACATATATGTTTGATTATATGTTAACTAGGACCATTGTGTGTGTTCAAGTCCTCACTTGACAGCTAGCACCTTGTCCGACACTTCCATCTGATCCGCTCACTACAGGTGAGTTCATACCCCTTAATTAACCTTTTTAAATGTTATTAAATGTTTTTAAATGATTTATGGGGGGGGGGGAGGATACAATTTGAAACATGCTAGTTATTGAATCAATCACATGTGATTAATAACTACCATGCAAATAGATTTACTACACTTTTAGCGGTTTTACCAAACATATTACTTTAAATGACTTTCCAAAACATTTTTACTAGTTTAAAACTCTTTATCAAACTGTCTTACATACTAAATGTTTCTTTTCAATACTCTGTTACAATCGTGTTTCCAAAACAAAGGATTCATTATACTTTAAACTGTTCTTATTAAATAAGCTGTTTTCAAACTGTTTTACAAACTGACATCAAGTTACCTTTTCTTAGGTCTTAAACTCTTCAAAGGTTTTACAAAACTTCTTTTATAATTTTATATTGTCAATTGCATGCGTAGATATGTATAGTTATATAAGTAATGTTTGAAGGACTTAGGAAGGCTAACCCACCTTATTTCCTTTTCCCCGTTGGGATGTGGTCTGGTAGGGTATCGGGTATCCGTCCGAAGGTCGTTTAACTATTAGTTATATATCATG